CCTTTTCCCGTTAGGTCTAAGGCACAGCGCGCTCATTTATCCTTTTCCCGTTAGGTCTAAGGCACAGCGCGCTCATTTATCCTTTTCCCGTTAGGCCTAAGGCACAGCGCGCGAGTTGCAGCACGCGGTATCTGACGGGCTCAAGCTTACTCATATCATGTACAGCGGTAAAAAATACAACAATGGAAGATAAGTGCCGCCCCTCTGCTTCCTGTGTAGCTATTCATTCATACTAAAACACTGACCTCCTACTTTTAAAAATCCACGATGAAAAGGTGTGTTTAAAAAATTAGAACCTAAATTTAATGCTGATTTAAAATATAGAAAAGGAATATTCACGACCAAACACAAGCGTATCAACAATTTCTCAACCAAACCAACCATAAGAGACACGAGTGATAAACGTCTGCGCTTGCTGTAAATTCGTATGCAATTGACCTAATTCACTATGACGTCACTGCTTGTTTATGTGGGGGATAGAATCGCCAAATCCAATAGAAAATTCAACCAAATTTTCTCCTAGCGAAACAGTTTAATCTAAAATGGCCTGGTTTTCAGATATAATATGTGTTAATATGTACTCAAAAATATTCTGAGCGTTTGCTGGCTATTCTACTTCTCTTTGTGGATTGATACGGGTTTTAGAACAATTTTCGGTGAATTTGCGTTGATTTGACCCCCTCCGACGACCATGATCCTTTGCTTTTAAACAATAGATTGTTGAAGATTGTTTTGATGTGACGTCATAGTGAAATAGGGCAATTAGTCAAAACGTCTTCATGCTATTTGTTGAGGCTAATTCTTAACAAGAGTATTAGTTAGTAACTCCGGAGTTTCCGCGTTTCTATTCCACGCTTCTGTATTGATTTCCCGTAATCCTTTGCGCGGTATATGTGTTTATCATGTGCACGAAGTATTGTGCCGTGCTTGAATCCCGTGTTGTCAATTCCGTGAGTTTTTGTACTGTTTTCCTTTAAACTTTCCTGTCATACATCGTAATTTTTGCCTTGCATCACTGATTTTAGGTTTCACCGGGCCTTTCCCTAGCCTGTTTTTTTTTGGGTGGTATTTCTACACAATTGTACTGTTTGTGTGCCAGAATAAAGTTTAGCTTTACCCAATCAATGCCCATGTAGAGCCAAGTAGACACATTTCCTTCGAAGACACACGCTACTTCACTATTGTAAAAATATGTTAATTTAACTTCCAAACATGCCTGATAAATTGGACTTCACAAAATGCCAAAACTTAGTGTCCATACTTGAAACTTAAGGCTAACTCTTTAGAACTAAATCAATCAGTCTTATTCTCAAAGGAATGACACATCGTCTGTAATGAGGGGGAAAATCTGCCCAGGGGCAAGCTTCTGACATTCCAGCAATCTCGTTTCTTCGTTCTTCGCCACAGGCCAGAAGAGACGCAGGCTCAGGATACGAGATCGACAATATAGGTACACATCGGATGCCTCTGGATTCTATTTATCTGATTCAAAACTAATATCACACTTTATCTCATTACTATTTACATGATACATGATAACTGTTACTTTATTGGGTGCAGTCTTAAACTGTTTATTATTGGCCTTTACAAAATTTCAAAGGAAGACGAAACGACCTTGTGGTGCACAGGATTGTGTGGGATTGAATGGTCACATGACCCTACCTCCCTTAAAACAAACACCTGTGACAAAAGGAACAATGTAAATGAAAAGAGCAACTTGATATTAGTAGGCCAAGGAAAAGTTTCGTCTCATAACAAGCGAAAGAGGGGAAATGACATTAAATATAGAACTGAATGTTTCATAAGGATTTGTATGGGAAAATCTGCAAGGGCTTACCAGCCAACACGTGCGCCTTTCCCATACAAATCCTTTAATGCCATTCCTCCTACAGCTAACATTACGAAACTTCGCTCTCTTGATAACATCAAGGTGCTCTTTTCATTTCTGACGTTCATTTTGACTCAACTGTTCTTTTTAAGGAAGATTGGGTCACGTGACCTGTTATCCTAAGTCGTCCACACAAGATGGCGGTGGTTTTTGACGTCCTCAAGTACTCTTCTTTTGAACTTAATTGCGAATCGGATGACATAATTAATAAATAACCTTTTTATTTCCATAAGCACCAATATTTGGTATTATGGATTACTGTAAATTATGCTTTTGATGCAGTTTATAAACAAAAACTAGTCAAACATACTAAAAAATTTTTTTTTTCAAAATGACAGTGGTTGTCAAACCTTTCCATCAGTTTATTAAGCATGGTTTCTATTGCTGCTTCAATGTGTTTTACCTTGTTGGTTTTTCTTGTTTGTCAGATTGTAGAAACCTGTGCTAGTTTTAAACCTCAAATTACTTAGTTATAACACCGTTCGTTTCATATTTCCGAAAATTGCCACAAAAATCGCAACAAAAGTCGCAGCCAAATCGCAGTGAAATTTGAACATGTTCGAAACAGCTGCGATTTCGTGGCGACGTGAATTTTTAGAATCGCAGTAAAATCGCCGGGTGTTCACACGGGCGATTTTTTCGGCGATTTGAGGTGCGATTTTTTCGGCGATTTTCACGGCGACGCAATTGGCAGGGTCAAATTCATCATTATTCATAGCAAATCAAGGCCCCAAAACGCTGAAATTTCACGGCTTTTCACATATTTGTTAACAATTAAAGAACAAAAAAATTGAAACAACATTTTACTACGCATGCGTCATGGTTACGACCGCTGCTACAACTGATTGCGTTTCATAAATCGCCGAGAAAATCGCAGAAAATCGCAGCACAACTACAGAAAGAATCGCAGTAAAATCGCCGGGTGTTCACACGCGTGATTTTGCGTCGCCGTGAAAATCGCYTTAAGGGCCTTAAGCGGGGCTTAACCGAAGTTTCACAGTAAAGAAAACCTGGAAAAACTGAGCCATATAGAAACCATGCTCTATTACGAATAACACCTTCTCTGTTACTACGTGTACTAGGCAGCATTTTATGATGGCTTTGCTTATTTATGTCACTTGAATAATCTTCTCTATATTTTTTTTTGTGCGAGATTACTTATTGCGTCCTTTAAATTTATCTTGTAGAAATTTAAAAAAATTCAATAGAAATAATAAATACTTCAGAGATGCAAAATAACCATATTGAAATCTGGACCAAAGTTTGTCCATCTTTTGGATCCAATCTGGCCTACATTTGGCTCACGTAGAAATTTGACAGAGAAAAGTTTATCTTGGCGGCACTTTATTTTGAATGGCTTCATTCATATTCTATCGCCTTAATGAGGGGTGAATTCAGATTTTGGATCGGGATACCTGTGTTACGTGTTACACATAACATTCTAAAAAAATAATTAGCGAACCGGGTTAGCTGATCCCCAGCCGGGGTCCCCATACCCACCCCTGTTAATCCTTTATGTAGTAAACTATACATTTTCAAGTCCTTTACTTCGCACGACCAAGCGAGATGCGAAACAACTTCTTTCAAAACGTTTTTGAATGAATACGACGACTTTTTTGGCGTCAACTTGAAAGTTTCAGTCGCGTTTGAAACAGAAACAGAAGACTAATTTCTGGTGTGACTTAACACTGAATGTTAGCATATCCTTCGCAGGTTTTACGCTAAGCTACATTAATGTCACGCAATGCTTTACATGACAGGATTGGTGATGTATTTGCCGACTGAATATCCATTAGTGTCACCACATATGGGCAAGGTTCGTGTTGTGTCACCATAGGTATTACCAAACCTAAACCGACGTTCTGTAGACAGAAAGGAGAGACTTCAGAACACGAATGATAGAATAATTCATAACGTGCGCTTTGATTGGTCGAATGACGATGTTTGCTTAGAGTACCAAACACGCTCACAAACACGTGCTCTGAATTTGAAAGTTCTTTCTTGACTTTCGCATCCCCATAATCCTTTGCGTCTTTGGGGGGTAGCCAGAGGGTAAAAACACACTTATTTTGCTGAAGGCTGATCAGACAATGTTGAAAATACCTTGTTTGGTATCCAAAAATAAAATGAAGAAGTAAAAAACATAAAAAGATAGAAGCTTGAAGACGTTTAGGGTAAATTTTAAACATTTTTTCGTAAGTCAATACATTTTCTGTAAGACCAAAACTCTTGATGATCTGTACACGCAAAAATAACTTGGAATAAACTGATAATCAGTATTGTACAGATAAAAGCAGATATAGTATAAATTCAATTAAGAAACCTTTCAATTTGGGACAGTTTTCTGATTGGTTATCCCCCAAAACGCAAGGCATTATGGGGATGTGAAAGTCGAGAATTGGAAGGATTAAACAGTATTTTTGTGTAATTCTTTTTCTTGTTATTTTTTTAGAATAAGAAATATCACGGTTCGAGAAGAATTAAAGAAAAATATTATTTTTCATTAATTCTCCAAGAACTATAAAGTGGTATTTCCTTTTAATAATATTTCAAAACAAAATATTTTTCTTGGTTTCAAGAAGCGAGAGTTGCACTCGGCTATGCCTCGCGTGACTCTTACGCTTCCTTCGTGCTTAGCAATCTCCCGCGTACACTCAAAACTCGATGGAAGTACGCTAATCAATGACCAATAGATCAATAAAAAAGAATAAAATCATAAAAGCATTGGACTATTTCCCGTGAACAAAAGCATAGCATGCGCAGCTTTCAACTGTACTTTTTACGAATCGACGCAAACTGACGCATGCTGCCTATGTCTATTTTTTGTCGCTCATTCTTGAGAAAAAAATATTAAAGATACAAGATAGACATACTGTTTTCAAGAATTCTTAAAAATAGGAAAACACAATTGGGGGATTTTTTATTATTGGTTTCTTCTTGCAGTTGTGGGCAAGTGTGTCGTACTTACGTGGTATATATCCAGTATATTTGGGCTTCATTCCGTATACTTTATATAGTGTACCGTGTTGGGTGTTGGATACCGTGATGGTCGCTTCAGGCATTCTAGTATATTACAATAATATGCATTACTATTGAATATTCGATCTTTGCTCACTGTCCAAAAGCTAAGCATATGGCTTTGCCTCGTGCAATTTTCATTCATCAAGTCAGCCTGTGCTTGTATTTTTAAACCAAACACTCGCATTAGCCTCTAATCCCTAAATATTATAACAATTCAAAGGAGCCTGCTCGCCAAGAGAAGAGAAGAGAAGAGAAAAGAACAGAAGAGAAGGAAAGGGAAGGGAAGGGAAGGGAAGGGAAGGGAAGGGAAGGGAAGAGAACAGAACAGAAGAGAAGAGAAGAGAAGAGAAGACATAACTAAAATGTACGTCATTTTTTATCTTGCCTAACATTCCCACAATACTCACGTGGTGTGATCAATCTTTTTCGTTGCAAGAATCTTATCAAAGGGGAGGATAAAAGAGAACAGAACAGAAGAGAAGAGAAGAGAAGAGAAGACATAACTAAAATGTACGTCATTTTTTATCTTGCCTAACATTCCCACAATACTCACGTGGTGTGATCAATCTTTTTCGTTGCAAGATGTTCTTGTTTCACCCTCATATCCAGCGAGTCTGTGAAGCCGTTTTTACTCCAAGTTGCATATCTCATCCTGAGATCGTGTTCTCGTCTGCGAGGGACGTACCCAGTATACCCTGGCATTGGCGCTTCACAAAACTCTCTCTGTTCACCTAGAAATGGAGATTGGAGGCATGTCATTTGACTTGTATTTAGAGTTCTAACTAAACAAACCAAGTAAATAGTTCATTTTAAGTCAGTACATTTGTACGGAAATTCGAGAGCAATGTCCGAACGTTTTGATGACCATAACACAATTCAAAACAATTTTATACCACGTGACAGCCGAAAAGGTGAATTCGAAACTTGACAATACAAGTACGTTCACTAACTTGTTTACCTTACATTCAATTTTTGTTTGTGAATGTGTCTATATGATAAAAAGAAAATTACAGGTTGTCTTGAACTAAGATATGAAGTTTATCTTCTCGTGGTGAAAAAATAAGATATAGAGGATATTACATGGGCGCGCGGAGATACGAAATTTATCTTCGAGTGTTGAAAAGACCTCTCACGAGTGCGCGTAGCAAATTTTCAAGAGATTTTCAACACGAGAAGATAAAATTCGTATCTCCAAGCGCCCATGTAATATTCTGTTTATTATATGATTATCAATGAAGTATGTTTTGGCTTTTTCAGGCAATTCTTTCCGTGTATTTTTGAACAGCCACCGCAATGGTGTTATCTTCACACGTGAAAATAACATGTTATTTTCCGTGTGAAGATATCAATTTTTCGAAATAGAGAAAAATAGATATTTATTGTTAATTATGTAATAGTAACTTATTATCTTCGCGCTACCGTGTAATATCCTCTCTACATATTTTACCATTTAAACATCAACTTACTTGGGAAGTAATTCTTGGAATATCTTGGTCGTAGATCAGGGTACTGGTTGGGTTCTTTGAAGTCAGCCCGAGTAGTTAGCTTGGATTTTGAGTACACGGCTGTTTTAAGCTGGTCACTCTCTTGTCGATGCTTGCCATCTTTCATCATGAATCCGCTGACAGCTTGTTCTGTGGCTTCTTTGTATCTCGATCCGTAAAGAAAACGAACGTTTGGAACGTAACCTAAAGAGAGTAAAAAATTATTACTGCTTTATTTATTTCAAAAAAGCGAGAAAACAAGACGGAAAAGAAGACAGGAAATCAAGAGCTTGGGATTCCTGTGGTGTTTCTCAAGAGAAATCTATTTTGACCTCCGTGAATTAATCCCTTAGCTAAAATCCAAACCCTTGTTAGAGAATATGATTCCACTTAACTAAAACCAAAGTGAAGCTAGCGTCGGATTGGCAGCGTCGGATTGATATTCATTGAGATTCAGAATCATTTCCGGGGGAGGTCAAACAGGTCATTCTACT